GAATGACTAACCATTACCATTTTTTTTAATATATACAAAAGAAGGAAAGGTACCATTTATTCACAGAGATTCATTACATGCTTGAAGCTAGAACAAACAACACCGAACAAGTCAAAACATTTCATGCTACTGCCGTGGTTCTACTATTACACCCTTGGAAAAGAACCCGACGAAGAAAAACCAAGGGGAATTCATTGCTAACTATCAATCTATACAACTAGAGTAAAGATTTTATGTACAATTTTCACATAAAATATGACTACCCCACCCCAACTAAAAAGCATGCATTGTCCCCAATGCATAGAGAATGTAAAAGCGAAGTTTAGGGGCTTCCTGGAGTGCACTAGGCGCTTGGAGGGGCTGAAGCATCCAGGGCCTTTGTGGGTCGACTGCTGGCACTGTGGCGGCAATATGTGGAACCTCAGACTGTGTGGTGGTCTCTAAGGTTGGAGCATGAAGCTCCACCTGCTATGAGGCTGGGTCTAGGACATGGGAGCTGCTAGCCTCTCCCAGCGAAGGCTGTGTGGTCGATGGATGTGCCTTGGCGACCATGTCTGCAAGAGAATGTGCAATTGTTGTCTGCACATCTACTTCCTCTTCGTCCTGTGCATTTGTAGAAGCAGCCACTTGCTTACCCTTGTTGTCCCGTTGACCCTCAGTCTCCTATACCAATGCATCCTCACGGTTTCCTCATCTTCAACATCTCCCTCATCAGACTCCCCTTTCATCTCTCCGGATCCCTCCTTTGAAGGAATGTCAATGTGTACAATGGAAGCTAGAGACTTTGAAGTCTCAACACCTTGTGCCTTCAGAGCTGTCATAATGTTGGTGAAATCCAACTCCAAGCCCAGAATGGAGGTGTCAGTACCCTGCTCGCCTTCTTTCGGGAGAAAGGATGTCAAGTCAAACTCCAAGTCTGCATCTTCTGCAGCTCTGATTTCAGCTCATCGACATCTTTCCTGAGCCGAGGCATATTTTCAACTTCACCTCACTCGACCCTCTCAAGACGCACTTCAAATTGCTTTAGGCAATCTTCATAAGATTGATGCTTTTGTTGAAGAACGCTCACTGAGGCTTGGACGGGGACCAATGCTTGTCAAATGAGATTTGGGTTTTCTTTTGTCAGCCGGTCTACCTTAGCATTAGCGTGCTAAGCTAGTAGACCCAGCTTTGTGAGAGCTGGTAAGGTAGCATGTGGATGTGCAGTGGTTGGCTTAGGAGTGGCTGTGGAGGTAACTGGGGCAGGAGGGGTGTCAGGCAGTACGGGGGCAGCAGGTGCTGCTGAGTCTGATGGATGAGGGAGTGAAGTCTCTGGTTGGTTGTCCGTCTCCTTGTCTACTGCATCATTTATCCGAGTGATGTCAATATCTCGAAGAGCTTTCTCAAGGAGATTATGGGATAGGGGGCACTCCCGCAGCCTTACATAGAGCAGTGATCAAACACGGGAAGGGAAGTTATGTTTGTTTTTGGTTTGCTCTGATCCCAGCTCCCTGAAAATAATATGTTTGATGACGTCCAAATCCACTACTAAAAAGTAAATGGACACAGTCGCATGCAATATAATTTACCCAACTATGAGCCGGGGTCGAATCCCACAGAGAACAATATGTAGGCAATTAGGAATGTAAGATAATTATCACTTGTTATGCAATGCCAAACACTAAGAAGGGTGATTGTGAAAATATTATAGCTAAATGTAAAAATATAAACTAACCTAGAAAGCAGGTAAAATGATCGATGGCTACAAGTATAGATACACAGAGAATTACACTCAAGTAACGATCCAATGTATTTCACGATTTACAAATATGAGCGAGTTTATGTTAATTAGCCTCGGGTAATAATTCTATATTAGCTTCTTCTAAAGACTAACAAGACTTCCTAATTGAATTATCCCTAAAACTATTAGGAGATTAAGCACATTATGACTACAAGTAGTTCAATCCTATCCCTAGGTAGAATCTATAAAATGAGGGTTAAAGCCTCAAGTTCTTGTTAATTAATCTTTCCCAACCCCTAATAATCTTTCCCAAAATTAATTCTAAGTTAATGGGCGAGTCCTAGGGTTAGCTAATCACTTTGGAAACATTAAAGAACAAGAATAATTAAAGAAACAATAACTCACTTCATAAAAGATAAAAAATCATTCAATACATAAGTACAATAAGATATTTAATTAACATTTTAAACATGAATATTTCCATAAACAAGATTTAAGTATTGGACTAAATACTACACACTTAGATATACAATACAAAGCAAGGAAATGAAGAAATGAGCATAAATGAGTAAGAAATTCTCAACCAAAAGCTTCAAATCTTCAAGACCCAAGTGTGTGTGCAAGAACCCTAGCTCCAAAACTTGAGTTCTTCTCTCAAAATAGGTCAAAGACTGGCCAAAGATGTCCAAAGATATTTTACAAATGAGATAAATCGTGTATTAAAGGGTTTGTGGCCAGAAAATGTGAAATGACATAATTTCCCAGAACTGAAGCACGATTTTCTCAATTGCGAACAGTGATATTCCTATTGATCATCGCATTTGCGATAAAACTTCGCATTTGCGAAGTTTGACTATCTAGTTTGACTTCGCATTTGCGAAGTCCTTTATTGCATTTGCGAAGACTGCGGTCTGGGTTGACTTCGCATTTGTGAAGCCCTTTTTGGCATTTGCGATCACTGCTTTCTTCTTATTACCCATATGCGTGTTGCAATTGCGACACCTGAGGCCATTTTCCAGATTTTCTTCTTTTCAGCTTCTTTTTGACTCGTTTTCACTTGGTTTCTTCAAGATCACTTCTAAATCACATAGAACCTGTTATATCTAAGTAAACGACATTAAACACATGATTTTATCGCTCAAACATAGCAAAAATCTTAGCTTAAAGATGAGATAAGTTGGTAAAATACCAACTTATCAATGTCCCACATCAACCTTTATGCCCGTCATGATGCATGCAATGAGGAGTGCCTTGTCAATGTTTATGTCAGTTTCATTCCTAGTCGGCATCAGATGGGAGCTGACGAAACTGAGCCGATATCGGCCCTCCTGGGTGAGATCCTGCTTGTAAATCTTTTGGCATGGGTCAATCCAGGAGGGTGTCCCTATGACAGATGCAATCCAGGCATGCTCGTTTTCCTTTGTTGCGACTTTGGCATCATACTCAGCCGTGCCTGACGACCAATCCTCAAAGTATAGGTCATTAATGGTGGCGTCATCACAGAGTACTTGGACCCCTCGAACTTGGACAAATTGCGAAAATATCCTATTCCTCTTTTTCTCTGCATTCCTTGAGGCACCATAAGAAGCATATAACTCCCTCACAAGTGTCTCATTATACTCATCTGAGACTTCAATGAAGAACTCCCATTGCCTCTTCTTAATGTTCTCGATCATGTGAGGGTAGTGCTCCTTCATACCGTTTAGACTCAACTGCTTCTCCTCAAGAATCTTTCTCTTTGTTATCCCTTCTTTGTATAGGTTCCATGAGCCTGTGACCCCAAATCTTAGATCTTCCCCACTCTTCCGTCGTGATTCAGCCTGTAGGTCAATGGATGGCATGAGGTCACTCCGTGCCTCCTCCTCTTCAGACTGGGAGGAGTGATCAGAAGTGTTGCAGTTTGTCTTAGGCCGTGGACGTTTGGACTGTTGTGCCTATTGCTCAGAGCAGCATCCCATTTCCTTCCACGAGCGGCCGGTGATCGGGTTGAAAGAGACTTCTTTTGTGCCATTCCTATCAATGAAACAGTGTGTGATTGGTTGATATAGCATAGGGATCACATTGAGAGAAAATGACTGAAGCAAACAGCTTGTGCGATGGGTTATGTGATCGCATAACCACTTTGCGAACCGCAAACCCATCGCGGATTTACAACACCCAGAAGGCAAAACAATTATGCGATCGCAAAATGGCCTGCAGATTTTATTATGCAACCGCAAAGTGGTCTCATTTTCGTTCACCAGATGAGCAATTTTTCTGACCCTGTTTGCGGCAACTTTGCGGTCCGCGAAACTAGTTTGCGGTCGCAAACTCCATCGCAGAACCATTTTTCATCAGGCCACCTAGGGTTCCAATTGCGACGTCTTTGCAGACCGTAAACCAATTATGCGAACCGCAAAGATTGTCTTCTTCAGTTAAAAAGGGTCAAACCCCTCACACAAAGAACGCCTATCACTCAAATGTGAAAAAAAAATTGACCCACGAACTTCCCACCCATGTCCCCACAGCAAAGGTTTGAGAGGGAAGGGGAGGAAAGGAGTTCAAGCAATTGATATTATGCAACATAACCAAAAGAAAAAGGGAATAGAATCGCATACCAGATGTTTGAGCAAGATAAAAATTGATTCTTAGAACGAGGTGAATCTTTCCGCAATTTTGATCCTTGTTACGCTCTTTTGTGTGTGATACGAATATTTTTGGCTTTTTTCTTTTGTTTCTCTTTGTTTTGGTATTTTTTATTTTTGTGTGTGTTGTACCGTATTCGTGTGTGAGTGAGAGTGAAGGTATGCGAAAGGTTTAGGGTATTATACCTAGGCATTTTGCGGTGGGCAAGTGGATCGCATAACACATTACGCGGTCGCATATGTGTTATGCGATGGATTAAGGACTGGGTTGCCCACTTTATTTTGCGACGATTTCTGCGGTTGCATAGTTGTTATGAGGGCCGCAAAATATGAAACCTTACCGCATTTTTGCAGACCCATCTTGCCAATTTCTCTGACTGTGTCTGCGACCACTATGCGGTTCGCAAAGTCATTATGCGACCACATAGTTACCGCAAACCACGGACCCTTCTTTCCTTCATTTACTTCAGTACGTGCACCCTGTTCATGGTATTTTGGACTACCTGCATTCTAACACACATGTCAACCTGCTCAACAATAACAACGAAACCTACATAAATAAATAAAACTAACAAAAGATTGTTACCACACATGGGTTTCCTCCCAAGAAGCGCTTGATTTAACGTCGCGGCACGACGATGTTGACCTCGTTTGGACTACTTAGTGGTGGGTGCTGGTGTTGGACTATCCTTTAGAGCAAATTGTTCTATTAAATGCCTTTCTCCTATGGTACCGAGGTAATGCTTGACTCGTTGACCATTCACTTTGAAAGTTCGAGTTCCATCCTCCGACTCCAATTCAATAGCACCATAGGGAGACACACTCACAACTTTGAACGGGCCAGACCATTTGGATTTGAGTTTGCCCGGAAATAACTTGAGTCTTGAGTTGAAGAGTAAGACCAAGTCTCTAGATCTGAATTCCCGCTTCAAAATCTTCTTGTCATGAACAAATTTCATTCTCTCCTTATACATGGCTGCACTCTCATAGGCATGAAGATGGAATTCTTCATTCTCATTGAGTTGTGTCATTCTTAGGTTAGTAGCTTCGGCCCAATCGAGATTCAAATTTTTCAATGCCCACATGGCTTTGTGTTCAAGCTCCACTAGCAAGTGACACGCCTTACCAAAAACCAACTGGTACGGTGAGGTGCCAATAGGAGTCTTAAATGTTGTGCGATATGCCCACAACGCATCATCTAGCTTCCTTGACCAGTCAGTCCTATTTGCATTGATAGTTTTTGATAGGATGTTTTTGATCTCCCTATTGGAGACTTCAACTTGACCACTCAACTGAGGATGATAAGGTGTGGCCACCTTGTGCTTTACGCTATACTTTTCGAGCAACCCAATGAAAGCCTTGCTGAAAAAGTGAGATCCACCATCACTAAGGATGGCCCTGGGGGTACCAAACCGCGTGAATATGTTCTTCTTCAAGAATGCGGTCACACTCCTTACTTCATTGTTGGGAAAGGCGATTGCCTCGACCCATTTGGAGACGTAGTCCACAGCCACCAAGATATATGTCATGCCATAAGAGCTCACGAAGGGGCCCATGAAGTCTATCCCCCACACATCAAAGATCTCGACTTCCATTACAAAATTCATAGGAATCTCGTGTCTTTTAGATATTGACCCTTGTCTTTGACATTGATTGCATGCCTTGAACATTTGATTTGCGTGTTGGTAGATCGATGGCCAATAGTAGCCACATTCAAGCACTTTCAACCGCCATCCGGTTTCCTCCATGATGACCCCCAACCGGGGAGTCATGGCATGACTTGAGAATTGGCATTACCTCATCTTTCGGAACACACCGCCGAATGATGTTTTCAGCACTAATATGGAAAAAAAGGTTCCTCCCAATAGTATTACCTACACTCCCGCAAGAACTTTTTCTTTTAATAAGCTTCCAATCCATAGGGAACAAGGTCACTAACCAAAAAGTTAGCGATGTCGGCATACCAAGGAGCGAATGTGTTAGACAATGCCAATATGTGCTCATCTGAAAAGGCATCATTGATTTAAAGGTCTTCTTTTGGTCTCCCTGCCTCTTCAAGCCTAGATAGGTGATTCGCAACTTGATTTTCTATCCCTTTCTGGTACTTGACTTCAAAGTCAAACTCTTGCAACAAAAGGACCCACCGAATCAATCTTGGTTTGGCATCCTTCTTCGCCATAAGATAGCGAAGAGCAGCATGATTGGTGTAAACTATAACTTTGGACCCCAACAAATAGGCCCGAAATTTTTCAAAAGCATAGACAATGGCAGGAAGTTCTTGCTCAGTCACAGTGTAATTCATTTGAACGCCATTGAGTGTCTTGCTTGCATAGTAGACAGGGTGAAGGATTTTGTTATGACGTTGACCAAGCACCATCCAATTGCTACACCACTAGCGTCACACATGAGTTCAAATGGAAGGGACCAATCGGGTGTGACAATAATAGGTGTCGTGGTGAGCTTTTCTTTCAATTCCTCAAAAGCTTTGAGACACTTCTCATCAAATATAAACTTTGCATCTTTTTCAAGGAACTTGCACATGGGATTTGCAATTTTTGAGACGTCCTTGATAAAACACCTATAGAAGTCGGCGTTCCCCAAAAAGCTTCGGACACCTTTTACTGAAGTGGGTGGAGGAAGCTTGGAAATGATTTCGATCTTTGCCCGGTCTACCTCTATGCCTTGTTTGGAAAATTTGTGGCCCAAAACAATGTCCTCGTCCACCATGAAGTGGCATTTCTCCCAGTTTAGAACAAGGTTTGTTTCTTCACATCTTTTGAGCACTTGTCTAAGGTTGTCAAGACAATGCTCAAAGGAATCACCCACTACAGAGAAGTCATCCATAAACACCTCTAAGAAATCTTCCACCATGTCCGAGAAGATTGACATCATGCACCGTTGGAAAGTAGTCGGGGCGTTGCATAGCCCAAATGGCATATGGCTAAAGGCAAAAGTCCCATATGGGCATGTGAATGTTGTCTTCTCTTGATCTTCCAAGGCGATGTTGATTTGGTTATAGCCGGAATATCCATCCAAGAAGCAATAGAATGACCTTCCCGCTAGCCGATCAAGCATTTGATCAATAAAAGGCATAGGGAAATGGTCTTTGCAAGTAGCATTGTTTAGCTTCCAGTAATCCATGCAAACTCTCCACCCAGTCACTGTTCTCGTTGGGATGAGATCATTTTTGTCATTTCGAATCACGGTCATGCCTCCTTTCTTTGGCACACATTGCACCGGACTCACCCAAGAACTATCAGCAATGGGGTAGACCACCCCGGCATCTAACCATTTAATGATTTCTTTCTTTACCACCTCTTTCATGGAAGGGTTTAAACTTCTTTGATGCTCCACACTTGGTTTGCTCTCTTGCTCCAATTGTATCTTGTGCTCATAAATTCCGGTAGGAATCTCTCGGATGTCCACTATTGTCCACCCAATGGCTTTCATGTGCTCTCTCAAGACATTTAACAATTGTTCTACCTGCACATCATTCAACAAAGAAGAAACGATTACCGGTAGAGTTTCATTAGAGCCAAGAAATTTATACCTCAAGTGCGGTGGAAATGGCTTGAGCTCAAGTTGTGGCGGCTNCGGATGCATGTGGAAACTTCATACCCTTACTCGCTTGAAAGGTAACCTCTTCGTCATTAACTCGGAACTTGATCTCATTTCGTTCCGAATCCATAAGTGCTCTTCCGATAGCAAGAAATGGTCTCCCCAAGATGATAGGGATTTCTTTGTCAACAGCACAATCAAGGATCATAAAGTCGGCCGGGAGGAGGAACTTTCCCACTTTCACAAGAACATCATCAACAATCCCCACCGGTCTCTTTATTGAACGATCGGCCATTTGCAACCTCATACTTGTAGGCCTCAGCATACCTAACCCTGCTTGCTTGTTAATAGCAAGAGGCATTAAATTGGTGCTATCCCCATTATCACAAAGAGCTCTTACAAAATTGCGCAACCCAATAGTGCATGGAATGGTAAAAGCTCCCGGGTCTTCTTTCTTTTGAACGGTGGTTGTTGCAATAATGGAACTAACCCGGTGAGTCACATTCACCACTTCATTCTTGGTGGTTTTCTTCTTGGTGATCAAGTCTTTCAAATATTTAGCAAAACCAGGCATCTCTTGAAATACTTCCACAAATGGAATATTCACCGATAACTGCTTGAGAATATCATAGAACTTCTCGAGTTTGCTATTATCAACCTTCCTAGCAAGTCTTTAAGGAAAAGGGGGAGGAGGTCTAGGAATTGGTGCTAGAGTTTTTGGTGTCTCTTTCACCTTTTCCTTAACCTCTTCCCGGTTTACTTCTTGAATTTTCACCTCTTCTGGGACTTTTTCAGCTTCAACAACAACTGGTACCTCAACTTGTGCCTCAACTTCTTGTTCGGAATCTTCCACTTCGACCACTTGTTCATTCTCTCCTTGAAGTATTGTCCTACTCCAAGTTGTGATTGCCATACAATGAGAAGTTGGACTGCCCCCACTACCTTTTGGGTTTGCAATTGTGTCAATTGAGAGTGTGCCCTTTCACTTCTGATTTTGCTCTCTTGAGAGATCTCTCATTTGAATCTCCAACTTTTGAATAGATGCGGTATGAGAACCGACAAGCTCGCTCATATTCCTCATTAAAGTGTCAGATCTTTCTTGATTTTGCAATACTCGTTCAAGCATGTTTTCCAACTTGGAATCACTTGAAGAACCTTCCTTCCAATGTGGAGAGTTGGAATGTTGCCCCTTTGGTGGAACATAGGGGTTTGAACTCCGATTTGAAAAGTTGTTGTTGTTGTTACTCTAATTCCCTTGATTTGAACTACCTTGGTCATTTCGCCACTGTTGGTTGCCTTGCCCTTGCGGGTTAGGCCTCCATTGTTTTGATGTCCTAAACCTTGGTATGGTTGCCTTTGATAACCTCCTTGAGAGTTGTTGACATAATTTGCTTCCTCATAATACTCATTTGATGTGGGTTGAACATCTTCCACCACATTCACTTTTTTTGTTTGGCTTTCAGTAAACATCTTCGTCAACACATTGACGTTGGTGGCAAGCCCGGCAATTACTTGATCTCTTTCTTGGTTCTCCTTAATCATGTTGGTCAAGGAAGGAGTACCATATGCAATCCCACCCGTGGTGTCCTCTGAGTGCCAAGCTTGGTTATGTTTTGCCATTTTGTCAAGGATTTGTGTGATCCTCACAAATGTTTTATCCATAAAAGACCCATCAGCTGCATTTTTGGCTATAGATTGATTCATAGGATCCAAGCCCATGTAAAATTTCTCCAACAAGATAGATTCCAGAAAACCATGATTCGGCGGCCTCACTAAATATAGCTTGAACCGATCCCATGCCTCATGTAGGTGTTCTCCTGGTAGTTGCTTGAAAAAGAAAATTTTAATACGGATCTCAGACTTCTTGCTTTGCGGGAACCATTTAGCTAGGATAGCTCGGACAAGTTCAGGCAAAGAATGAATGGAATTTGGTGGTAGATTTTGGATCCATTTCCTTGCCTCTCTAGCCAGTGAATACTTGAACACCCTCAGTCTTAGGGCATCATTTGAAACGTTGTTCTGCTTGTGTATCGCACACACAATCAAGAAAGTTCTGAGGTGTTGTGTCGGATCATCATCGGTGGAATTTCTGAAAAACCCCTCTGGTTTGAGCATTAGAATTAAACCGTGTTTCACCGTGAAAGTGGCAGCATCAACTCTTGGAGGGATAATGGCATTTGTATCCTCAATGTACTCATCTATATCCGCAAAAGGATTCTCTTCTTCGTCATACTCGGACATGTTTTCCTAGTAACACCAAGCAAAGCAAGAAAAGTGGATGGAATAGAAGAAGACGTAAAGTAAAGCACACACTAATTAGTAATTTCAAAACCGTATTCCCTAGCAACGACGCCAAAATTTGATACGCTCAAATTACACTTAAATACATAGTGTAAGGCGGACGGTGTCAAATATAATAACCCAACAAGGTTGGGGTCGAATCCCACAGGGAATAGGTGTGAAAAGGTTACTTGAATAGTGTGAAACTTGACTTAAGTCGTAATTCTATTCCTTTAGTCTTGAAAAGAGAATGATTTAATTGTGAGTTAACAAGAGAGCTATTTGTTATGAGAATGTGATTAATTTGATTAAGGAAACCAAGGTTGTGTACCCATCAACGAAATGTAATGGTATCAGTGTTAATATGATATATTTCTAATGGAAGGTCCTTTTGATATGCAAATGATTTCCAAAATGACTACCCAATATTTCCCAATAGTTGGGTAGTATTTTTCCTTTATGATTTTCCCAAATATAAAAGAGTTGCAATTAACACTAACTAATTTATGCCAAGTAGAACCCGCTTATTTCTAAGCGATCCTATTAAACAAGGTTTAAAGCCTTGAGTTATTGATATTCACTTCTACCAAACCCTAACCCACTTTTCTAAGTAAAGATAGAGTAGAATGGAATAAGTCAATATCTGCAACCACCAACAATAAATAAAGCATAATAAATGAATAAATATCAACAACCCAAACCATTATATATATATATATATATATATATATATATATATATTTTAAACACCTATATATATATATATATATATATATATATATATATATATATATATATATATATATGTATATGTATATTCAATGTTAAACACCTATTAACATTACACCCATTTAGGGTCCACAACCATAGTATTTAAAACTAGCTACTTATACTAGAATACAAAAATAAAGCAATAAATAATGTCATAAAGCTTACAAAGGTACAAGATTCTCTCTTCAAAAGCTTCAAGCCCAGATTCCACCGTATTTCCATTATGCGGTTTGCATATCCGTTATGCAACCGCATTTTCCATCGTAGAAGTGCCACAAATTCTTCAATTGCAAATGTGCAGTCATTATGCGCTTCGCAAAAGTGTTATGCAAGCGCATAATGGACCGCACATTAGGTCACGAATTTCAAAGGTATGAATATGCAAGACATGAACACAGAAGAACGAAATTGTAAAAAACCAAGAGACTTACCAGTTATCAATTGAATAAACAGACAACAAGAAAGAACAAACTCCACAGTACTCTGAATGTCAACAAAGATCAAGAACCCAGAATCTTAGTGCGCCAGAGTTCCCAAGGTCTTCAAATGAACCCCGGGCAGTGCTCGCACCAAGAAAAGTTGAAAAATTGAATTTCGGTGGCCTTGGCTTCAGCCGGCCAAGAACCAATGTATAGGACAAGGGAATGAGAGAATGATAGAACAATAGCTTCAATTTTTAGTGAATCTGGTGATTTAAAGTCTATCTCAAAGGGGAATGGGGAGGGATTTATATAGTAGTAAAGATCAACACATAAAATAAGGAAATACAGTAGATTAAACACAAATAAGGAAAATATAGCATGCAAAAAATCAATCAGAATCAGTTTTAGGGTAAATCCAGGAAACCCTAGTTTAGCCGAGGAACAAGAATGGAAAATATCTCACTGAATCGAAGCCATGGGGTCTGATAGTGAGTGTATCAGGTCAAAAACATGAAGATGATACAGAATCAGAGTCTAACGAACATCAACGACTCTGCTTCCATAAATAATCAAGTACCCAGTACTTATAACGTTCAAAAGATGGCAAGTATCTCTGTATGATCAAGAAAGGAAAGGAATCATGGATGACTTCCATGTAATATCGCATTGGGGCTGGGATATGAGTGAGGCGGCTAGAGTTTCTGAAGGAGGGAGAAGGAGATATGAGAGAATACAGAGGCGGCGGAGTGAGGATTTGTCTCTAGGGTTTGGGTTTATGGGCGTATAAGGAGAGTGGGGGTTTTAATTCGGGCCGTTGACCATTTGAGATCAACAGCCAAGATTAAAAGGAAGGTGAGGCGGGTCATTATAAACGGGTTGTGCCCGAATTTTTAAAGGGTCATTTTGTTGGGCTGCTGAGGTTATTGGGCCAGGGGTTCATTTGGACCTTAATTGGTCCGAAATTAATCCTAATTTTGGGCCTGATTTTAAAATAGGAAATTAAGGGAAAATAATTTAATAAAAACAATTAAATAAATAATAAAAATGCTATTTATGCAAATTAATACTTTAAAACAATAGTAGAAGATTATAAAATGTAAGATATTATTTTGACCCTGAATAAAATGACAAGTGCAATAAAATTGTAAAATATAGGCTATAGATCGGAAGNTGTAAAATATAGGCTATTATTGCAAGATTGTGCAAATAGCTTAAAAATACTAATGTAATTATATAAAATGAAGTAAAAATATTTGAAACATGTATTATAGATGCAAATAATAATTTTAAGTAATTAAGTCATCACAAAATAATTGAAAGGAGTAATTAATAAATATTTAAGTAATTTAAATGCAAGAAAGTCAATTTTATAGCTCTAAAAATTATGGAAAATTATAGAAAAAGCTTGCATAGATTTTGTAAACTAAATAATGATGCAAAATGATGTTTTAAAAGTATATATACTATTTGAGAAAATATGAGGGCAAAATTGGGTATCAACAGCTGCCCCTCTTTACCTGGGAATGATAAAAGAGTTGTCGGGTAAAGAAATGATGACCAATTTTGGCTGAATTGAGTGAGGAATGATGTGATTCGAAAAAATAGGGGCCGAACCCTTGTTCTTGAGTTGCCTACATATCCCTGGTGCTACGGGAATCAGGCCGTGTGTAGTTCTGGAGCCAACGGTGAACGAAAGTTGTTATAAGAATGGTCGTATGTTTCAGAAAGGGTTCTTTTGGACAGGATAGTATGGGATAAATTTATGCGGAGTCATGAATGTGAATTTGAAACGTTATGGATGTATCACAGAGCAAATATCTGAACGGTCATAAAGTAAAAGGTGGGCAATTGCTGGTAGTCGATTACGTTTGAAACAATTGAAGGATGCGAGCGTTGCGCACGGAAACCGGAGCGAAGATTGCTCCTGTTTGTAGAATGGTTACCTCTCGAGTTACCTGCAAAACTTAAAACACGGTGCATGCGCATATATATATATATATGGGTTATTGCAAGAATTTAAACGTGATGCAAATTTCCTTTGGACCATGAAAGTTGTCTTTGGACGGTGAGGATGATATCCTTAGACCATGACGTCCTGGGCCATGAAGCGTATGATAAGGGATTCGCAGGCCATGAAATGGTGTCCTCAGGCCATGAGGATGGTGCCTCTGGACTATGAAGCCTTTGAATAATGATGTGCAATTTTGAGAGATCCCCAAGCCATAGAATGGTGTCTGCCGGCTATGAGGATGATGCCTTCAGACTATGATGCCTTTGGACAATGTGGCGATGTTTCAGCCTATGAAATGCAAAGATATGATGCTTGGTCATATGCGAGGGTGAGACAAGACAAGGCTTAGTCTTGTGTAAGATGAGGGAAGTGCTTAGCCCGAGGTGAATAAAGATATAGCGCTAGGTCTTAGGTAACATAGTGGAGATA